CTCAAAATTGCATAATTTGCCCCAGTGGTAGAGATGATTGCATGAGCTCGGGTATAGTTTATCTGATCTCCTGTAAGTCGAGCGGTGACGAATACATTGGCGAAACGGGTAGACCCCTCTGTGTCCGCATGAAAGAACACCTAGTCGGTAAACGTAAACCAAATACCCCACTAGGCACGTATAGGACCCAGAGACATAGCGGGGAAGACTTTGAAGTACGGATCACGATCCTCGCACGCGAATCAAGAACACAGGCGCGAAAAACTCTCGAGGCACTCTGGATTAATTCCAGAAATCCGAAAATGAACCGCAGGGAAGAATGCCTCATTATCACGCGTGAGATAGGGCAGTATATAAAACTGCTTTTCTGATGTGAGGGGCACATTGTACTTCCACGTGATTTCTGTGCGGTTGGTCTCTACGTGACATACTTAGTGGAAACGTCATAGGAAGCGGTGAGTTTGCAAAGCTGTGTTCAAAGTGATTGAAATCTTGGTTTGGGGTTTCTTTGTTTAGTTATGGAGGCGTCTGGCCGAGTGAGTTGCTATCAACTTGACCTTTCCAGACTCTGAAGAAGGCGAAATCCGCCGAAACGTCAGCTTAATCGTGAACAAAGAATAGTAACACCTCGCGTTTGCTCAACAAAAATACGAAGAACAATGCAACACAACTGTATACTGGTATACAATCTACTAGGCCAGAACAGAACAGAACAGCTGATTATAGTCGCATATGGTTGATGAACTTCCTCATTGGAAGGCACGTAAAAAAGCGGCTCTGAAGAAGGCGATACTGCAGAAACGTCAGCCTGTGTTGTACTGTATTGTGTTTCTCTATGGAAGTAAATGTATGCTGTTTAAAAACCTTGCGATTGCTGAACAAGAAAACGACGCATTTATCATTGCGACCAAGACAATCCATGGTAACTCGCAATTCCAGAAGCCCCACCGTAGGCGCTGGACATGGGAGCCTCCCAATGGAGAGTACCATAACGAAATGGACTACATCATAGCAAATAGAAGGTTTTCCCTAACCGATGTCGCTGTTGTCCCAAAATTCTACGCGGGATCAGACCACCGTCTCCTTCACGCAAGGTTCTACTCCTCGTGGAAAGGAGAAAAAGCCGCAAAATTCCAAAACCGAAGTACCAGAACCACCACAAACTGGGACTTATTCAATTCATTGGTTGGCTGTTGGGAAGATGCCGTTGTCGATGACATCGACGAAGAATACGATCGGCTCATTCAACATCATCATGTTAGGGCTATGAAAGCTGAGAGTTCGAAAGGCACCAAGAGACGTTTCTCTCTAGAAGCCCACCGAAGCTTCGCAACTACAAGATCAAGATGATTGCACTCCGACGCTCGGACGGAGCAGTTGCAACGTCCAGAAAGGCAATGAAGTCATTCGCGAATTCCACTGGGATCTCCTCGATAGCCACGTCCACCTTCCGTCATATGAAATAAAGGAGGATAGATATGTTGTACCACCAGTTCTCCCTTCCGAAATCCGACATGCCATTTCGTCGATGAAAAATCGAACAGCACCAGGTCCGGACAGGATAAGACCAGAACACCTGAAGAACCTTCCGCCAGTCCTCGTAAACACACTAGCTCGGCTCTTCACACGTTACCTGTCTGAATGCAAGGTCCACACTCAGTTAACCAGCAAGACGGTGGACTGGTTTATCGTTCAAGAAGGGTAACCTACACGATTTCGGCAACTAACGTCCAATTTGCTTGCTGTCTATCTTCTACAAACCTTTCACTCGAGCCATCCTAAACAGGATTGACAGAAAACTAGACGAAGGACAGCCATGTACGCAAGCGAGGTTTCGAAAAGGATTTAGTACGGTGCACCACATCCACACGATAACAAAGCTGATTGAAGTATCGCGAGAGTACAAAAGACCACTCTGTCTCACTTTCATCGATTTACAGAAAGCCTTTGGTTCAGTTGAGATGGAAGCAGTCTGGGAAGCCCTTGATAGTCAAGGAGTCCCTACTCAGTACATAAAGATTCTTCGTCAGCTGTACAAAAACTGCACAACCAATGCATCACCATTCTACAACGATATCAATATTGACGTCAAAAGAGGAGTTAGGTAAGGCGATACTATCTCGCCGAAATTATTTACCGCCACCCTCCAGAACGTCATGCGAGCATTGGAAAGGGATAATATGGGAGTGAAAGTCGACGGTCGGCAGTTACACTATCTTCGCTTTGCTGATGACATCGTTCTTATAACACCACATTAGCCAAGCGGAACGTGTGCTTGACGACTTTGATAAAGCCTGTGGAAGGATTGGTCTTCGACTAAATCTCACAAAAACGATGTTCATGAAGAACGGATTTTAATATAATTATATTATAACTAAGCATCAGCTTAACTGGGTTCAATGCCGATTTGGGCTCCCCAGATCAATCCCGTTGACGGGTGATTGCTGATGGCAAAAAAAAGATCGATAGAACTAGCTGAGATACATGCAAAGCGAAGGACCCGGATGGTGCAGTGGTGAAGTGCGCTGCTCCCCGGTAAGGACAACAGCGCGTGTTCGTTCCCCACTGCATACACCTGTGGTCCGGAGTTTTTCAAATATCTCAGCACTTCATTCGAGTTATATTTCACAACATACCCTGCCATTAAGAAGAAAAAGGCAGTAAATAAAAGAGTGAAGCAACGATGTTGAAACATAATAATTTCCGAAACAGTCGTTTATTTAAATTCGTCCTAAGCACACAATATCTGCGTCACCTTGAGTACCGTTGATCGTCATGGGACTAGCGAGGGAGCCGGAAAACCTACCATTTCTTCCTGCTACATTAAAAGCGTTATTTAGTGGGTTCTGCTAGCTTTAAGGACTCATTCGATATCATACCTTGATTCTAAGGCCCTCGTAAAGAATTCTGGCCATCGGGTCGGTTGTCTTCCTGCAGTATGTTTGACATCCCGAGGAATCCAGTCACTAACGGCTCCTGTGCATCGGTTGTCATTCATACGCATTACGTGTCCGGACCACCTTATCTTCGACTGTTTGGCGTACAGAACGGCATCTTTTATTTTTGATCGTTGACGCAGATCGGAGCTTCGGATCCTATCTCCCACTTGTGTGGAACGGGTTACTCCTAGAATCGCCCTTTCGACAGCGCGTTCGATAACGCTGAGTGACCTTTCCTCCTGCTTACGCAGCGACCAGGTTTCTGACGTATACGTTAGGGCAGGAAGTACCGTTGAGACGAAAAGGTGGGCACGGAGTCGGGTGTTCTTTGTTCTCTTCACTACATCCTCGATGCTCTTGAAAGCTTCTCAATCTGCTCGTTTCCTTCTGCTCAGCTCTGGAATTAAGTCGTTCATCATATTAATGTCCAGACCTAAACAGATACAACTGGAGCCTTCGGAGATATTCGACCCATTGAGCGTTAATGGGGCATGGGAGACCAATCCGTTCTTCATGAACATCGCTTTTGTGAGATTTAGTCGAAGATCAATATTTCCACAGGCTTTATCAAAATCGGCAAGCATTCGTTCCGCTTGGCTAATGTTTGGTGTTGTAAGGACGATGTCATCAGCAAAGCAAAGATGGTGTGATTGTCGAGCATCGATTTTTCCACTTCCACGTTGTCGCATTCCAATGTTCGGCCTGGAGGAAGTTAGTGAACAAGTTAGGCAAGGTGGAATCATCGTGTTTAACCCTCTTTTCACGGACTGAGTCAAAAGCATTCCTTGAATTGATGAAACTAAAACAGAGCGGTCTCTTGTATTCTTTCGGTGGATCTTGTTTCTCAATGAATGTGGTCCATCGTGCTGAATCCTTTCCTGTACTCAACTTGCTTACATGGGAGCCTCTCGCCCAGTGTTCTGTCAATCCTGTTGATAATGATAAGTATGTTTACTATGACTCGAGTGAAAAGTTTGTAGAAGATAGACAGCAAGCAAATTGGGCGTTAGTTGCCGATATCGTGTAGGTCACCCTTCTTGAACAATAACATGGTCTTGCTGGTCTTCCACTGAGTGGGGACCTTGCATTCTGACAGGTAACATGTGAAGAGCCGAGCCTGTGTGTTTCCAAGGACTGGCGGAAGGTTCTTCAGGTGTTCTGGTCTTATCCTGTCCGCACCTGGTGCTGTTCGATTCTTCACCGACGAAATGGCATGTCGGATTTCGGAAGGGAGAACCGGTGGTACGGCACATTCATCCTCCTTTCTTTTCAATGGAGGTAGGAGGACGAGGCTACTGAAGAGATCCGAGTAGTAGTCATGAATGATTTTCTCCATTGCTTCTCTGGAAGCAGAAGCTGTTCCGTTCATCAACACTGCTTTTGCAAGTGGAGGAGTTTCTGTGGAACTTGCGAGTATTTTCCCAGCCTGTGAAACTTCGACCATAACTGCTGCTCCTATCTGTTTAAAATCTTTTGTCGCCTGTCTACACTTTTGTAACTTCGGACGTGAGTTTGCGGCTGTCTGTAGCTCGTGCGATTCCACGCTGGCGTATCAGCTCAACTGTTTCTGGGGACAGACGCTCCTCCCTAAATTTCGAACCCTCAACTTCCATAGCACTAACGTGAAGACGCTGAACAAGCAGATTGTACTGTTCATCGATGTTATCAATAGCGCCATATTCCTAAGAGGCGACCAGTGATCTAAATAGATCCCTGTTTATGTAGTTCTGATGCTTCGTTTTTTGAACCTTACCTCCGTTTGCGACTTACTCTGCTTTCATCAAGCGATTAAATCTTTCGTGGATCAGGTTATGGTTCGATCTTCCGCAGAATTTCAAGACAACAGCGATATCAGTTAGGCAAATCCCTCAGTTTACTATGTTGTGGTCTGTTTCGTTACGGTATTCTCTATTGAGAGACTCCCACTTCCAGCGTTGAGAGTGGGGTTTCTGGAATTGCGAGTTACCGTTAATGGTCTTGGTTGTCATGATAAGCTCAGACAGCCGCTTATGCTGATCGTTTCATTCCAATCCGTGAGTCCGAAGATATGTTCTCCAGACGCCCTTCTGTATCCATTCCTTGCGTTAAAATCTCCAATTTCGACCTTAAAAAATATATGGTCTTCTCTATAGAACTTCTCCAAGTTCATATAGAACGCTTCAATTTCGTCTTCGTCGTAGCTTGATGTTTGTGCGTAGAAGACATCTCTTCAATCGTAAACGTCCATTTCGGGTTGTTAGTCGTTCAAATGAACCGATGTTCATGGTCAAAGTTGTGTTAACCAGAATGCCAACACAGCAGACTTTTCCACTGTCGCATGTTTCGGAGAAAAGTTCGTCTTCGGTGTCATAAACGGCATTGAATGAGCGTTGTATCAGGCAGCCCGATGACGTTCTACCTTATCCTTCGTACCTGCACGATTAAGTCTTTTTCTGAGTACTCAAATGCAAGTGTACGTTCATTGTAGGTACAGGACGCTTTACACGAGATCAGAGAGACTGTACCCGAACTCATGCAATCACCGTCTCTACCATTTGGGCAAATTATGCAGTTTTTTGTTGTACACCTACGGTCGTATAGGCGGTTGCAAACTAGCTGGCGTCTTAGAGTATCCGGTGGTATTTCTATATAGAATATATCTATATATCTATATATCTATATATCTATATATCTATATAATATCTATATCTATATATCTATATAATATATCTATATATCTATATCTATAGAATATATCTATCTATATTACATTATAGTCCGCATTACAGAACACCTAGTCGGTAAATATAAATTAAAACAAAACACTCCACTAGGCGCGCATAGGATGCAGGAACACAAAGGAGAAGATTTTGAGGTAGGAGTCACTATCCTCACGCACGAATCGAAAGCATCAGCGCGTAAAACTCTCGAAGCGTTTTGGATCAATGCCAAAAATTCAAAAATGAACCGCAAGGAGGAGTGTCTCGTCATCACGCGTGACCTGGCGCCATACCTCAGGCCGATCCAATGACCTGACCAAGGCACAGTCCTCGTCCATGTCTAAGTGTTTGGCTGAGTAGATCGCATCTCAATTTGACCTTTCCAGGCTCTGAAGAAGGCGAAACCGCCGAAACGTCAACTATTGTATTCTAATAAATTCTATATTAACAACCTCGTGTCCGCTTATTGAAGAAAAAACATTGAATTATCTCAGCACCATTATGGTCGCATTTCATATCATACCTTGCCGCGGAAAGCAGTAATAGGGAATAGATAAAAGTTGCACATTATTGAAATATTTCTAAAAGCCGATTTTCCTTGACCCTCGGCATTAACAATCATTATCTTCTAAATGGCCAACACGAAGTCGGTACCCTTATCAAAATACTTTCTGTAAAAATTTTTTTAGGCTAGTTCCATCTAGTCTTAAATTGCTTGATACATATTATATAGAGACCATCTACCCTATTGATAGAACTCTGCTATTATTATCTTCGTGCGTTCTCCATATTATTCGTACATTACTCCATCATAAGGGCGCGTGTAGCGCAGTGGTCGGAGGCACCCTGCAATACAAACATGGGATCTACCTACACTTCCGTGGTTCAATGAACATTCCATCCCTCCGTGATTGGCGAATTGGTACCATATTTGTCTGGGAGGATAGCAGCACTGGCTCGATACAACGGTAAACCGCCGCGAATCATTGTAAAGGTCATATATGCATTCAGTCACCTCTAACGGTGCTTAATGAAGTCGGATGCATGGCGCATCCCTCAGGGAGTGATCAACGCCGAGAGTTTTTTATCTTTACTCCATTATTTTACCATTGTCACCAAATCTTATACGATATAATTCCGCTTGTACCGCGTATATCTGTGCAGTACCATCGTTGCCATTGATTGGTCAGATGCCTTTGGCCACTCTGCGTCTCTAGCAGTTTGTACCCGCCTTGGGCAGCCCTTAATCACATACTTCATCGATTTTCGAATGTTCTAGAGCTGTCCAGGCAGCTGTGCCATGCGGCTGACCCATTCACCACAATCAACCTACTGCTCTGCCACTTCTTGACAAGTCGTCTTTTGCAGGTCGCTGCTTACTTCTAGGCTAAATATATTGCCGTGATACGTTAGTTGTTTCTCGTAGTACTTCGTTCGTAGATTGCACATTGTTCTACTTATTGGCAGTGACAGTACTTTTCCCATGGTAATTAGTTCGATTCGGCTTCGTGGTTCGATCTGGCTCGGGGTCCAAGTTTTGCGAATATCTAAGCATCGTTATGGTAATTAATTTTAGTTCGTAGGTACCGATTTCGTTCTGTCACTGTTATTAGAGATTTAATTACTCAAGTATGAGGATCGCATTATGGGAAAAACAAAAGCTACTAGAATCAGGTGTAAAAGAACTGAGCATCTCCCCTTGAAGTAGCCAAAACGTATTACAAATCCCGGGTCTTCGACAGTCAATCGGTCCACGAGAAAAAATGGCTACTTGAGGGCGTGGGATCACTAGCAGGCTGAGGAACATTCAAACACAATTGAATCTTCAACTGATTGATCGTAATGGTTTGCACAGTCTCATAGAAACTCTCCGTGCTTTCACAAAATCCGTCCGTGGGACTAATTGGTAGAAACGCCGCGTAGCACCTAAACTGTAAGGAGATAAAATCCTGCATATCACTAGCCAGTTGTCCCGAAATATGAGAAGTATTTGGCCATCTTCGTTTCCTTCGAGAAACTTTTTCCTAATTATTGTCTTCGATTAATCGCAATGTAGGTGAGTTGGTGGAGAGAAATGTCATGACATGTTTGTCAGAATAATGATGTCCCCTTTATCTTTCAATTTTAGTACCATTAATGAGCACATGTAGCGCAATGGTCGGAGGTACCCTGTTATACACATGGTTTCGATCCAATATCCTGGGCTCACCAAGCCTTCTATCGTTCCGGAGTCGGCAAAGTGATCCCAGACAGACCTGTCCGGAAGGAGCGTACCACTGACTCGATCCATAGGTAGGCCATCACTAGTCACTGTAGAGACCAGGTGTGGATTCAATAACCTTTAACAATGTTTAGTGAAGTCGAATGCATGGAGCATCCGTCAGGATCAACACCAGAGCCTCTCCTTATCCCTATCAGCCATGTTTAAGCGCTTTTATTGCATAACTCCAATAGTTTGGTTCTATATTTGTACCTTATATACGGAATGTCTTTGTGGAATGTGACGATCTATGCAAACGGCACTTGGGCCTTATTGAAACAGACGTTTTCGCCAGTCGACAACTCTTCTCGTCCATCATAAGCGTTGAAATGGAGATGTGCTAAGAGTTTTTCAAACCTGCCTTTTGCCATTAGTTATGACCTAATAGGTCGAATCTAAAATAAAGAACAGGAGAGACATTAACACCTAAACATTGGCAGTGTAACACTACCTTGCTGACGTCAGAATGACGCAAATCTTCCAACTTCTTCGAAAGTTGTCGGTTCTCACGACATGTCCTTCTCTTTCCGTCTCTTGCATAAGCGAAAATCGGGCACAGATGTTTCTTCAATCATCAATTTAAGAATTCTTAATTACCCTACTCACTTTCTTAACGTCCTCTTACATGGGAAACAAGGGAGATTCACCAATGCACTCAGCGTCTCCGCTTATTCTTGTTCAATCTCGACGATGAACAACTGACTGCAGATGAGGTTAACATTGTATTCAACGACAGTTAGAGCTTTCAAAAATTAAACTAAAGTTTTAGTTCAATTTTTAGCCCATTTCAGTCAATTTCTCCTCCCAACGATTCACCGCCTCATCGTGGCTGTGAGGTGTTCCTGGGTGTCGGACTACGATGTACAGCGGGGGACCCACGGGAGGGTCTCCCAAGCTGAGAGGGAGTCTGGCGTTTTTATCAGGAGGCCCAGCCAAGAGTAAACCAATACCAGGATCCACTACCGTCCTAGTATCAAAGTCGCATGGTGGCAAATCTCCCTCTGATCCACAAGAACTGCGAGTGCTTGTGGTGGTGAAGGCCAGACTTTGGCCAGGCTGACCTCGGCATACCAGGGAATCACAATGGCTTAGCCAGCAAATCTCAGAAAAATGGTGATTATGCTGGGGCCCGCACAACCAGTTAGGACGGGCGTTCAAGTACCAAGTGTAAAGTAAGTATTGCAGTCAATTCTTCCTTCATTCCTAATTGCTGTGATGAACGATGATTGTCTTATGGAGTTGAAGGATTCAAAAAAGTGTTCACAAAACATCTACAAATAAAAGCAGTACATGTTGCTGGTCCACATGTACCCGGACACAGCGGCGAGCATTTAGGCGTCGGTGATGTGTTCGCTACGCAGTCGTTGACCACGTGGTTTTGCACTCTTTGTTACCTGTTGTCCTCGTTCATAAATATTCCGCACCTGTTGACACCTACCTCGCTTTTCACTTAACACATATTTAAAGACTGTTGTTATAACGTTGCTGAGATATTTGCAAAATTCTGGACCGCAGGTGTCTATGGTGGGGAACGAACGCGCGCTATTGGTCTTTCCGGATAGTAGCGCACTTCACCTCCACACCATCCGGGTTTTTCTTGTTTGCCTGTCTCTCAGCTAGTTCTATTGATCTTTTGCCATCAGCAATCACCCGTAAACGGGATTGATCTGGGGAGCCCAAATCGGCATTGAACCCAGTTAAGCTGAGGCTTAGTTATAATCACAATCTTATCTCAGCATTATATACGAGTTATATTTCGCAACATACCCTGCCATTAAAAACCACCATCATCAAATGCACATTGCTTAGCTCGAGGTGAAATCTGTTAGGTCTAGCCAGCTTTGTCAGTAGGACAGAGTCGTATCAATTGCATTACGGTAAGTTTCTGAGCTTCTGGAAGCTGAGAATATCCTGCTTCTTTTCGACAGCTTGGTTGTTGGTCTTTCCCATCGTTTTGTTACTGGGGTACTTCGTGAGTGGTTGTTGTTTGGCGTAAGGTCACAGGCCACAGGCGTTACGGTTTCTGATGCGCTTTCTTTACTACCGATAGTACTTCTCCAGTGATGTATTCTGTTTGTTACATTTTCCTCTAGAAGTCGCAAAAATCGCTGCTGTTCTGAAGCAATCCATGTTGCTAAGCAGCAAATCCCACTCCGATTCATAAGGAATGATGGTTTTTGCCTGCCACACTTAACAGGCTACTGTCACTGCTGAGTTTACTAATATTAAGAAAAGATGAGATGTCCTCAAGTTACAGATGAACCTAAGCAAGAAACTGAGCGCATGTGAAGGTTGCTAGGCAATGAAGTCATCAGAAGAAGTACTGAAACCTGGACGATACGTGGGGATTGATCATCAAAGGAAATCGATAAAATACTTGATTGTGACGATTTTCCTATTGTTCACGAGGAAGTAGTAGGTAGTTTCACCTGCTGACACATGGAAAAGTTATTAAAACCTTCTGGTGTAAATTTAGCTCTAGGAAACGGTTTGACTGTCATGCAGAGTCGGTTGTATGTTTGCAGCGGGCTAACTAGGACCGATGCGTCGTAGACTCAATGATAATCGTTCTTCGTCGAACAGTTCGAAAGATTCATTCAGTATGGAAATACCTACTATCACACATTTTTTTAGCCTAGCCATGAAACGACCCTGGCAGGGCCATATAACGTATAGCTTTAGTAAGGCATTTATGTAAGAGGTTTTAGGCCATACTAATGGTTAGAAGTATGACGCGATGATATTGATAAGGTAGGCGAGCGCTGTGCCACCCAATGTTCCCGACTGCACTGACAAAAAATCGATTCACATGGTTGTATCTACTAGCGGTACCGCTCAAGCACTCCATTCATTTCTATATCTGCCCAATATATTTCACAGCTTTACGTTTATATCTATTTAAAGTGAAGCATTTACAATGAGGGGAAGTTGTTGGGAAGACGTGGGTTAACATGTTTCCTAATGAAACCGTACTCCAGTCAATAGGCATGGGCGTTTTTCTCGCACAAGACCAATACTTGTAGAGCGCACCGGCCCTGTAAGAATCCAGTAATGGCAGAGCGTTTCTGGATTTCGATAACATTTAATTCAGCCAACAACACGTCACGTGACAAATGTCACGCGCTTGGTATACCGCGCTCCACCGATCAATCGTTGGACCTTCGCTATGCTCGGTATCTGACGGGCGGCTTTGCCATCCAGGCTGTACTAGCTACTTTCTGAATATCCTTTTAATTCGCAGAGAACTCTTCATAAAGCAGCGTCGAGCTAATCGATGTTGTCATCCTCTTAGTGTTCGAAATGCTTATTGATTGATTGCTTAAAAATAGTCTGGGCGATTGTGCTGTAAACAGTACTTTCTTTTACTTATAGTTATGCCGTCTCGTTGTTGATCCTACTGCTTCAAGTACGGATTTAATTGCTGAGTATTGTTGTATCATTCGGTTCTAAACTAGTGCTTAGGGAAAAATGGTTCGTCGAAGAACTGCATCGCCGAAACCTTCGGCACCGGTTCGCTCTTCTCCGCCACCGACAATGCGTTCGAGTCCACCACCTAGGCCAATGTCACAAATCCCTGCTAAGCCTGGTGCTTTTAAATTTTGCTTAGAATGCTCAATAACTGTCTTTACTTTGTTATTTTTAGCTGCTGCGGCACCTGTTCCATTGGGAACTCCAGCTACTGCTCCATCCCAGGGTCCAGGACTTCTTGGGCAAATGGCAGCCACCGCTGGAGGAGTAGCCATTGGTAGCGCTGTTGTAAGTTAGCAAAGTTTTTGTGTTTTATTTAAATACTTTTATAGTTGGGTTGCCCGTCTTCACGATTTGCTTTAGCTGTAGTACTTTCGCGCTATCTTTTTATCTAATACGACCCTTCACACCTACTGCGCGGATCCCTGCGCGTTTTGCATCTGATTCGTATCTTCACATCCTCCTTCCAAGAAGGTTTCCGAGCTTTTTGCGTGTGGGTTTGGTTGCTGTTTGAGGGTTGTCATCTTATTCTTTACAAATATTGTTGAACACTGGAGTCGATTCTCCCCGGACTGTTCGAATTGCAAGGGTAGAGAGCGTTCTGACTTGGATTTCATAGAGTGAATTGTTCTCAGACAAGTCTAGCACAAATCTTCCGACTCCTGAGGATGAGAGGTGTAGTGAGCACAGATCAAGTTCAGACCAGTGCTATGCTTGTGACAGTCAGCATCTCTTTCACTGTGGAACTCTCTGCTTTTGTGGAGAACTTACAGCAAATAAATTTCTAATTACACTTTCACCTTCTAACGATAATAACACTTCCGCTTTTATTTGAAGTGTGGTGAGCCGAGGTTTGCGCCTATTTACCATGGTTTGTAGGGCCATGCTGTAGGAAATATGATGACGGGTGGAGGATCATCTACTCCCGAATCGGCTCCTGCGCAAGCAGTGCAACCAGCGACTGATCGTCAGCCTCAGGCGTATGCTCAACCGTGTGAGTTCGAGTGGCGGCAGTTTATCGAATGGTAAGATTTTATTTTTCCTTGTATTTTTCTTCTGTCTAGATCTTTTCTCACTTTTATATAATAAGAATTACTTCAGTAATTGCTAGTTGAAATTAGGTCTTCAAGTCAGTTATCAGCACCTTATGATCAATAGCTTTGGATGCTTGACTTCGTAGAATTTGCCACGCGGGAATTTTTCGTAATTGTCGCAGAACAATATCTCAACCTTGGGTAGTTAAACCGTTGATAACAATAACAATTCAAGAATAGCGAAATATAAACATTGGTACAATACAGACTACAATATAGTATCATGATCAATAAGTGAGGGCAAGGCGGGTTAGTGTCTTTGCTATAGGACAGTGAAACAGTGCCATGTGCATTTCAAATAAATCACTAGTGTCACAAGGTTTAGGCACATTAAGGGACATATATCTGATTCACAAAGAACACTATGATGTTACACACTATATGTAGGCTTGTGATATTCTGATGAGGTTAACACGTTAAGGACGTCAAGTATTATAACATTGCGATGAGGTTATGTGTTAACTTGTAAGTACATTGCGATTAGGTTAACGTATTAAAGAATAGATGTAAGCGTATGAGTATACTGCGATAAGGTTAATGTGAACACACAATAGAGTTAGCGTCTTTAGAAGTACATGACAGTGAAAGTTAGTATACAACATTGACCACATACAATAAGAGAGATCACATTGGATTAACTACATGGCGCATCACATATGATGAACAGGGGGCGAATACGATATTGACTCACGGGGCTGTTCAAGTGTCTTCTAGAGGAGGCGATGCTTTGGAACGGGTCCAGAACTTTTACCGAAAACATTCGTCGACTTCCACATCCAGCTCCCTCGTGATCAGATCAGATGACTAAGGACGAGTTCCCAGACAACTCCATGTCCTTTGTGTTATAGTACTCGTGATGGTTTGGAACAGAAACAACACAGAAAAAGTTCCAATTGCATAAAAAGAGTGTGGATAACAAAGGATGTTTACAACAACCAAAGTTTCTATCAATGAAGTGAAAACGTTTACATGCTGCAAGATCGCAAAGCGATATGAGGGACCACGAATGTGGTTACCACAGGCCTATATGGTAAAAGAATAGTAACTATTCTGGCAATAGTTGCTATAATTACATTGTGTTGGTTTTTACTAAGTGTGTGCTGTAATTTCTAAAATTTTAGCACTCAAAATCAGTCAGATGTGTCTTTGTGTAATGGATTCAATGAGGTCTTCAAGCAATGCAAGGCACGTTATGTTTGATTAGGACATCACTCGCAACTCAAATGTGCTTTGGGGATGTGTGTGTGTATCTGGGTTACTCTCGGGTTCTCCAGATTCATGCAGTTTCTTGTCGCTGGATACTTAGTGTTCAATGTAATGTTCGTGTTGTAGGTCGAAAATGCAGTGTTTATTTAATTGCTGGTAGAGAACGAATAAAGTTTGGTGAAAATGTTGTTCTATGCGAAAGATGTTTATCACTATTAACCTATATATTAAAAATCACTAATGAATCATTGTCATCGTAGGGCGTATGGACATTGGTAGCTAAACAGTATTGTAAGGTGCCTTAATTTCTTCATCTTGAACTGTCAGATCCTATCATGACAGTACTGGGCACCATTGTCCACGATCCTGACTTCATCATATGGAAGAGAGTGCCCGCGACAGTTTTATGAGTTAAATTTTGTAAAACTTTGTGGATGGCGCAGTTTCTCAAGATGGGGGTACGGAACGTTGTTAACTGGGTGAATTGAAAATGTAGTAGAGACACAACATAGTTCGCGTATATGAACCAGGTATACGTGCTCGCTTTAGTACGTAGACGACTCGTCTTTACTTGTCGTAGGGGTCCAACATTTTTTGTTTTTTTTGTCTTGTAGCCGTCTTCCATAGTAGTAGTACTACTCGAGTGTGGATTCGGATCCAGTTAGAGTATTTGAAAGTTGATTTTCTCTACGAGTTTAGTGGTTTGCTCTGCTGATGAACACACGCTCATCGTCGTGGTGCTTTTCCTCGTGATAGTTTTGATTCTCTTTAGACCTTCTGTTGTTCTTTTCGTCTCCCAGTCGTCTTTTGTTCCTATTATACGGTAAGCCGACTGATGTTCAGTTTTTGAGGCTTATTCTTTTGGGACTCGAGGATGCGTTATTCCTCGAAGATTTGAACTACAAAGGTGAGTTTCGTGTTGACTGAGACTGTCCTTCTTCGAAAGACGTTGCTTGAATGTTCTCTGTATTGGGTGCAGCTCTTTCGATATGGTTAAAGTATCACCTTTTGTTTCTGCTGCATAGCACTAAGCTGGAAAAAATGTTTTCTTATGTAAGTGAGCGCTTAGTTCGGGATCATTAGGCTGATCAGAAATCTTTATCGAAGTCCCGAGCGTAGCTCATGCTGCTCATTGTATTCTACAGAGTTTTGCCAAGCAGTTATCAGTATTCTTTGGGCGTCTCAAGTGTTCATAACATATGCTAGACTGAATTGGTGATCTATCCAGAATTATCTTTTCTCTAACACCAGTCCGTGTTCATGGACCAGACGTAGGTTACCAATGTGTTAGGTCTTCCATGTGCGTTCCTTGTACTAACCCGAATATATTTCGTAACGAGCCAATAGTAAGGATATTTGTGAGTAGCCTTATCATAGTCCAGTTGAAATGTTTGTGTTATCAGTGACAGCAGCATTCTGGATAGCAAACAGGATATCGAAGTCGTTTTTCTTCTCTCATACTGGGGATTTCCTCTCAGTGAACCATCACTGCATCGCGTGAGTGTTCATTTCTTCTTCATGTCACAGTTCCCGCCGTTGTTAGTAGGAGCTGCATCAGTCGAAATTAGTGTGCCAGTGCTCAACTGATTATCTGTTTGTTACCAATCAATAGAGTGCGTGTGGCGCAGTGATCGGACGCGCTCTCTAATACACATGTGATCGATTCCCGCGCCCCAGGCTCACCAGACCTTCCATCCTTTCGGGTCTGCAAATTGGCTTCAGATTTGTCTGGCAAGATAGCAGCACTGACTCGATACATCGGTAGATTACCGCTAGTCACTATATAGGCCAGATATGCATTCAGTCTGCTCCAACAATGCTTAATGAAGTCGGATGCATGGGACATCTCTCGGGGTTTCGTCATTGCCGAAAGCTTTTATTTTTTTTCTTGTTAGTTTCCGAGTTTAAATTCAGTCTTATCGTCATACATATGTGAAATTTCCGGTTAAATAAGGAGTTCGTCATGATTTTCAAAAGGTATTCTCATCTCATTTTTAGTGGAGCTCATCAACGTTTTCCTCTTTTCCCTGCTTCTCATATTTTTTAGAGGATGAGGGTTTCAATCATAGATGGTTCAGGAATGTCTACAATCGGATTTATCGGACTGGGCAATATGGGTGCCCATATGGCACGAAATCTGATGAAGAATGGACATAAACTGATAGTGTATGACGTTAATGAAACCGTCCTACCATCTTTTAAAGTGGGTTGGCACTGTTTTGGTTCACTTTTATAACCTGGAAAGGAAATCAACGATTAAGGCCGAAGGGGCTGACGTTGCAAAGTGTCCCGCTGATGTAGCAGCCGCGGTTAAGGACATCATTACTATGCTCCCAAGCAGTCCTCACGTTAGGAAGGTCTATGGCGGGCATGATGGTATACTAAAGTTGGTTTTATGTTTTTACTTAAAAAGGAGCAGATCCATGAAAAATTTTAGACAATTATGAGGCTTCAGGCACGGAGGGGCACTATATTATTACTTAGGGGTTACGATTTTTGTGGAGTCATGACGGGATGTATATATGGTTTCATCAGCTTCTCATAGCGAGCGAGACATTTGCATCGGAAGTCTTTGAGATTTCATTGTATATATATATGTGTATATATATATGTATATATATATATATATATATATATATATATATATATACGATCATACTAACACGGAAGTGTTTACTCATGCAACTAAAATTATTCTGAGATATTTGCGAAACTCCGTAGCGTAGGTGTCTGCGGCTGGGATCGAGCTTCATTATCACCCTTTCCGGGGCTGACGTGTTGACTACCAAACCGTGCATGTCCCTCGGTTCGCCCTTATCTCAGCCTCAATCCCGTGAACGGATGATTGCTGAGAGCATCTATACGAAATACGGCTGAGACAAAGACGAAACGAAGGACACGCATTGTATGGTGGTAAACACGTCAGCCCACGCAAAGGGTAATAGCGACGTTCGTTCCCCGTCATGGGCACCTGCGGTTCGGAGTTTTGCAATTATCTCAGTATCAATGAAGTTGTATTCCACATCACAGTTTGTAATTAAAAGAGAATAGGCAAAAAATAAAAAGTGGTTGCATTGTTTACTCATGCTTTCCTAGATCTATACAACCACGAAGTCTTTGTATAGACTCTTCAACCATTGATCAAAGTGTCTCCATCGAAGTAGCGGAATGGTGCAAGGGCAAGCAGTGCACATACGTTGATGCTCCTGTTTCAGGAGGTGTAACAGGTTTAGTTTTTTATCCATAAATTCGATCATATCCTCAGCGCAATAAACAAATTGGCCTTGAAAGATCTTCTTAAGGTGCTCAAAATGCAACACTTACTTTTATGGTAGGAAGTGGAAAGTGCCAAGAGACATTTGATCGTGCGGCTGCAATTATGAAGTTAATGGGCAAGAATGTGGTACGTGGATTTCAGTGTGATATCTGCAAAATAATAAAATAAAAGGGGCGTGTGTGGCGCAGTGGTCGGAGACGCCCTGCAATACACACAGTATCGATCCCCGGCTCAAGACTTACCAAGCCTTCCATCTGTCCTGGGTCTTTAAGTTGATACTAGACTTATCTGCGAGGATAGCAGCACTGGTTCGATACATCGATAGGCCACCGGGAGTCATTGTAAAGTCCCATTCAATCAACCCCGACGATGCTTAATGAAGTTGAATGCACGGCGCATCCTTCAGGGATTGATCAACGTCGGGAGCTTTATCTTTTTCTTCATTTCAAAATATGGTCTACAGTACTCGATAGACCGACTTTCTATAAACCTCGGCATAGATAGTTGATATATTTATTTATGTGATCTTGTAAACTGATCTTCAAAAGCTGACGCGAGGTTGGTACAGATCTTCGTTGTCGTTGTCGTTGTTTTTGATGTCATTGATCGATGGCTGACGTTTCGGCGATTTCGGGACGTTTCGAGACGTCCCGCACGTAACATCACGGCTCTGAGGAAGGCGAAGTCACCGAAACGTCAGCCATCGATCAGTAACATCAAAAACAACGACAACGACAACGACAACGAAGATCTGTACCGACCTCGCATCAGCTTAAGAAGATCAGTTTATAAGATCTACAGTACTGTTTTGTGTTTTTGCAGTAGCTCCGTTGTGCAAGCTTTACCGGTTTCCTAAGTTTACGACTTACAAATTTGTAATCTCTTCTCTATGTTTTACATCTTCCGAGGAATTTGAGGTGAAAGTTTCGTAGGTTAACTGTGGAAAAGTTGGTACAGGGCAAGCAGCCAAGATCTGTAACAACATGCTATTGGGAATTCAGATGGTTGGTGTTTCCGAAACTATGAATCTTGGAATTAAGTGAGTTGTGTAAATTTGCGAGCTGAAGGATTTATTTACTAATAATTTATATTTTGCAAGCTATTGTGTTTTAGAATGGGCTTGGATCCGAAAGTTTTGGCTGGTATTATAAATACGTCTTCTGGTCGCTGTTGGTCGTCTGATACGTACAATCCAGTTCCTGGAGTGATTGAAGGAATCCCATCCAGTAATGGGTACCAAGGTGGTTTCGGATGCACTCTTATGGCAAAGGTGATTGAATTCTAACATTTTTCTAAGTTAATAGTTAATCTGGATGGGAACAATAGTGGGGTTCTTATTGATGCAGTCCATTAGGAAGCAAAGTGGTTCACTTGCGTGGAAAATCGACTCGATCAGCACATTACGATATTCGTAAACAGAACAAAATTTTCAGTCAGCAGCCAAAACAACACTTTAAATGTTCAAAGATCTTCATGGACGATGAATGAGAGGCAAACGAATGGAATTCAAGAATTGTTGCCATCGCATCCGCATAGTAGATGTGATAAAGGGTCACATCATCAATAGCACCTGTCGTTTCGTTGATCGTCTAGTGACTCGAGCGCGCGCCAGTGAATCTTACATTTTTCCCTGTCGGGTGCAAGAGTAGCGCAATGGCTTCTGCTCACTGTAGGATTTCGCGTAGCATCGTATCTTTCTTATGGAGCTTTCGTGTAGAACTCTAACCATCACGTCGGTGGTCTCCCTGCAACGTTTGACATCCCTAGCAATCCAGTCACTAACGGCTCTTTTCTATCGGTTGTCGTTCATAAGCATTCTGAGTCAGGCTCGCCATATCTTCTACAGGTTGGCATATAGAAAGGCGTCTTTGATTTTTGATCGTTTACGTAGGTTGGAACTTCGAATCCCTTCCATCACTTACCTGATGCGGGATACTCGTAGCATAGTTCTTATACTGCGTATTCAATCACACAATCACACTGAGTGGTCCTTCATTCTTTTTACGCATCGACCAGGTTTCTCACGCATACGTCAAGCAAGAGTCGAGTCGAAAAGGTGGACGGAAAAGGAATTGGGCGTTCTTTGTTCTCCTCACTACATCCTCAACGCTTTTGAAAGCTCTTTAAGCCTCTGGCTTCCTCCTGCTCGGTTCTGAACCTAAGTCGTTCATCGTGTTGATTTCTTCACTTATATAGACGTAACTAGAGCATTCGGAGATATTCGTTCCGTTGAGCTTGAATCGGGCATACGAAACCAGGCCGTTCCTCATGAACACCGTTGAAGACAAGTTTTTCCAAAGGCTTTGTCAAAGTCGACAAGCATTCGTTCTGTTTGGTTAATGCTTGTTGTTATAAAAACGACGTCATCAGCACAGCCAAGATGTTGTAATTGGCGAGCATCGATTTCCACTCTCATGTTGTCCCATTCCAGCGCTGGTATGACGTTATCGAGGGTGGCAGCAAATAATTTTGGTGAGATGGTGTCGCGTTGCCTAACACTTCGTTTAACATCGTTGTAAAACGATGATACTTTGTCGATACTCTCCAGACCTGGTGCTGTTCGATTCTTCACCGACGAAATGGCATATCGGATTTCGGTTATAAGAACCGCTGGTGCGACATGTCCGTCCTCCTTCATTTCCTATGAGGACAGAAGGATGTGGCTACTGAAGAAATCGGAGTAGTAATCGTTAATAATTTTCTCGTTTCTTGAGGCTGAAGCTGTTCGTACGTGCCATGGAGTTCAACAATTTTGCTTTTGCAACTGGCAGAGTTTCTATAAGATTCGCGAATGCTTTTCCCACTCTCTTCGCCCCTAACTGCTGATCTGCTCTCCTTAGGATCTTTTATGGCCTATCTGCACTGTTTTGCAAGTTAACTAACTTGAGGATGTTGAACAAGTAGGTCGTAATCTTCATGTATGTTATTGATAACGCCATCTTCCCAAGGGCCGACTAATGATCCAAATAGATCCCAATTTATGTAGTTCTGCGACTTCGCTTTTTGAAAGTTACCTCCGTTAGCGACTTTCTTCACCAAAAAGTGGAATCTTTCGCGGATAAAGCCATGGTCCGATCTCATGTAAAATTTCGAGACAACAGCTGTACCATTTAGGTAAAATCCTCAGTTTACTATGATGTGGTCTGTTTCGTTACGATACTCTCCATTGGGAGACTCCCACTTCCAGCGTTGCGAGTGGAGCTTCTGGAATTGCGAGCTACCATGGATTGTCTTGATCACCATGATAAACTCAGATAGCCGCTCACCCTATTCGTTCCATTCTAATCCGTGGGTCCCAATGTGACGTTCTTAGGACGTTCTTCAGGTTCCAATCTTAACATTAAAATCTCCAGTAATGACCTTGAAGGATGTGTGGTCTTTTCTGTAGAAATTTCCAAGTCCATGTATATCACTTCGACTTCTTCGTGATAGTCCGATATCGGTGCGTAGACGACGAAAATGGTGATGACCGGTACTGATTTACTTCTCTTCAATCGTAGACGTCCTATTCTAGTGAATTGATGTTCTTGGCTAAACTCATGTTGACGAGAACGCTGGTGCCGCTGACTTCTACAGTGTCGCATGTTTCGAAGAACGATTCTTTTCCGGCGTCATAAACGGCTATAAATGGGTGGAGCCTTCTCGCCTCAGCTAGTCATATGACGTACCTCTTCGTTCTCGCCTGTTTGATCAAGTCTTCTATCGACTCAGATGCAAGTGAATATGCATTACAGGTACAGATCGTCACCTTAGCTCTATGCATTTTAGGCAGCCAACACGGCTGTAAGATTTTAAGAGCCTAACTCTACTGGTCCTATACAGCGCTGCCCTATCGAGGGCTTTTTAAGAGTGAGGGGAGTGAAGCTCACTTATTTTACTGTGTATTTAGCATAGCAGTTAATAGCTAGCGTAGAGTTTGCTGAGTTCTGATACTTCCTAGTCACTTTGTTGGATGTTTTTGGCCGAATCGGCTCGTAGAATAGAGTGTGCACATATATAAAAGAGGACACATCCATGTACGCATGTGTGGATAAAGGGGTGAAGGATGGAGTTTTCGACGTTGATCAATCCGTGAGGGATGGTCCATGCATTTAGCCTCATCAAGCATCGTTAGAGATGACTTAATGCATATCTAACCTGCACAATGACTCACGGTGGCCTACCAATGTATCAAGTCAGTGCTGCTATTCCCCCAGAGAGGACTGGTATCAATTTGTTGACCTCAGAGGCATGGAAGGCTTCATGAGTCTCCAGCGGATATTCGAACCCATGTGTACTGCAAGGCACCGCTAACTACTACACTACCCGAGGCCCAACGCGTGCATGAATACATCCTCCTGAACACAAAAGGTATGTGTCAAACCGGCGCAGCAGAGACAGAAGGTGCCTCCCTTGAATCGACTAGGAAAGAATGACATCGCTTTTGGTCCACGACTAACCACCCATCTATCTCCTGGCGGTTGGCCATGTTGCCTTTCGACTAACCTGCATGAGGTCCCTTTATGAGGGAGATCTGTAAGAGTTATATATGAAAGTAATAATAGTTACTAAGCGAAATACAACCACAACGTTGCTGAGATATTTGCAAAACTCTGGACCGCAGGTGTCTATGGTGGGGAACGAACGCGCTATTATCCTTTCCGGGGAGTAACGCGTTCACCACCACACCATGCGGGTCCTTTGTTTCGCACGTCTCTCAGCTATTT